TGAGGGCTTAGGTCGATTAGATGAAATCCTTTTAGATAATCTAAATGTTAAATTTCATGTGCCACTCATAATTCTTAATAAAAGCAGAGGTTTTTGGCTCTCGTAAACACTTTTTTCTGTAACGATCATTGAATTAATCGTAAAAAAAAAAAAAAAAAAAAAAAAAAAAAAAAAAATAATTTTACAAGATGGATTCCTTTAATCTGCCAAGTCACGGTAAGAAGACTTCTCCTGTCCTGGGAAAACTTCAATCATTTGAGTATGTTTCTAATTATTATTTATTTTAAAAAAATATCCTAATACCCTCTTTTTGAAAAATCCTTTTATATAAAAAAACTCTCTCTTCATCGACAATAATAGAGATAAATCTGGTGCACGAATTGATGTTATTCTAAACATTGTTGGAGATCCCGATCAACGTGAGAAGGCATTAACCTTGATCAAAGAAGCTGCTGAAAATGCTTCTTTTATCCCGAGATATGGAAACTTCATATTACCCGAATCGAACCTAAATACAAAATTCGAATTTGTCAGATTTGATGAACTCGATCGATATTTCATTAAACTGGAAAAAAGTAAGGAAGGTGAACTCGAAAGAAAGTTAGATGAACTTCAGATAGCACAAACCAACACCCCCCTTTCACATTTTACAAGTATTGATAATTTAACTTCCTGCCTGAATCAATTATTATCGAAACCTTCTAATAACGATAAATATATATTGAAACCCAGAATATTTTTTGGAAAGTGTTTATTCTTTGAAATCAAAAATCCCGAAAAACCATTTACTTTACAAGAATGGCTTAATTTTCAACTGTTGCCAAGAACCCGTCGTATGGATAACGATAGGATTGGTAGTTCTGAGTTTAATCAAGATGTTCCAACGTTCCTGGAAAATTTCGAAAAACTTCGATACAATTTTGAATTTAAAGAAGACGAGAAGAGGGTTGCAAAAGGAGATGTTCAAGGGACATCCTACATATATTATGATGTCGAATCTAATGTGAAAAGAAAATTGAAGTTAAGATGGAATGTAGACGATAAAAAATGGGAAATAAGCAAACACATTCGTAATTATAATCGTCTTGGTGAGGATTGATTTGATTCGACATTTGATTTGATTTGATTATTTTTTTTTTTTTTTTTTTATTATTAAAAAATATTTCAATTTTGTCTTATCTTTTTAATTTAATTTAGCAAATTTCGATTTTATATCCGGGTCCAAAACACCTGACTTCAGGTTGTCCGCTAAAACACATTTCGAGATCTTACCAAAAAATTTCCAGACGGAATGGTTTGAAAATATCCAAACTGATATACCTGGGTTGTGGTATAAAAAAATTGATAAAAATATTAAAAATGTTGTCGTACGACAGGTCATAGAAAAAAGACGTTTTAGGTACCATTTTTTTCTTTTTCCTTTTAAATTATTTCTAAAAATCACCTTTAATCTTTTCTCTCTTTTCTCTCGTTTATTAATAATTAAAGCAATAAATGTTACAAATTAACGTTTTCAACCATCAGACAAGAGAATAAAATGGGAACTGTGAATCAAAAATTTATAACTTTGAAACATCATTCGTGGAGTCAAGACGAAATTGATTTGAATAACAATGAGCATTTCAATAATGTTGTTAACGCAATACATTTCGCGAAAGAAATCTTGAGTCAAATGTAAAAAATTAAATTGATTGTTGAATGTCTTTTATTTGTCTTTTAATAAATGATTAGAATGAATGTTACTTTAAAGAAAACTTTTCAAATATTAATCTAATATTCAAAATCGACGTTCGATATTTACCCAATATATTCAATTCTATATATGGACCACGATGGAGATTTTCTTACTATCCATCGGATCCCATCACAATGTATGCGGGTCAGCGTATGCGGGGGTCATGGATTTTCAAAACAAAGAAATGCGGAAACCTATCAAAAAAGGAAAGTTGGGCTCATCTTTTTATAGAACAAGATCGAGATTTTAAAGAATTTGTGTGAACTATCTAAGCCTTATTAAGCCCAATACAAAATAACAAACTTAATAAATATGACTCCTTTTTCGAAACATTTTTCTTTTTATCAAAATAAAAAAAAAAATTACACATAGGAAAACAAAAATTTAATATTTTTTTAAAATCCGAAAACAATTTATTATTATGAACTTCGATACATTTAATAAATTTCAAATTAATAAAATTTCTACACATTTTTAAAGAAAAGAAGTTAAAAATCTAAATTTTGCAACAAAATGGACATTATTATTACATTATTCCTTCTCGAGAAATTCACCTCAACAATTATCATTATCTATCCCGTTATTGAATATTTATGACATGAATCTAATTCCGATTAAATGAAGAAGAACACTAACTTCGACGATGGTGGACTTTCAGATGGAATAGTAAAAAGAAAAAAGACTATTCAAAAAGGGAGCGATTTCTTGATGAAATCGCGAAGAACCGCGAAGAAATTTCACTATCATTGAAATTTCTTCAATGATTTAAAAACGGCTACCAATTATACGGAAATTTCTGTCGTAGTAGATGGGGGGGGGGGGGAATGAAGGAACTTCATGGTGGGCAGAAATTAGATAATTTTGAAAAAGATTTGTTATTAAAAAATTATAATTTTCTCTTTATTCGTTATAGTGTAGTATCATATTATTTTTACTGTTTTAAAATTTTCTAAAGTATTTTCTTCTTAAACGTAAATAATAAACTTAATCACAACTTTGGTTCTTTTGCATCTTTGTTTTAAAATATTTTCCAAAAAATTATTAAATATCATTCATATGGAGAGATAAATCCCAGAAATCAACGATCTTCCGGTTCCTTTTGCATCTTCGACCTTATCTTTTTTAAAATTAACGTTAATATTCATTTCAGGCATATTTAGGGATAAAGGAATTAATGTTATAAAAAGGATTCGTTTTGAAAGTTTGAAAGGTTTGTTTATATTTTTAGAAATAGATTGTTTTGGAATTAACATTTGCGAAGTGGACATTTTTTGAGATTCGATAAGTTAGTTTTTGATTAATATTCATATATATATGACGAAAAAGATATCAGAATACCTTTTTTTTTTTTTACTGATAAACCAAATAAAAAAAAATTTTTTTTCACGTTTTTAGTCAAAGAAGATTTTATTTGCTTTGCCGCCCAAAAACAATCTCCATACACCAAAAATATTGTCCACTCATTTCTTCTTTTAGAAGTTCATTGAATTTTATTTAATATCTCCCCGAAAAAACATTCCAAGTTCTAGACACTTTCATGTTTTATGTTTACTTTGCCACCAAAACAATCTTAATGCACCGATGATATATTTTGATATTGTTCAGGATAATCCTCGAAATACCAAATTTGTTTAAAACATGTAAAGATGTGTAAAACTTTTTTTGTTTTGAAACAGAAGTTCTGTAAAGCAAACCAAAAATGTTTTCATTTCGCATAATGACAAAAAAATTTTCACACGATTTGTTTAAATCACAAAATATTTTTGGGTGTTTTCATATGAAATGTCATTGATTAGAGTCTTTTCACGTATTATCTAACTTTCTTGTGACCTTTTTGCTTTTGCCAAAGTTACTAAATTTGTTAAAGCGCGTTATGTAACGAGACATAATCATGGGAATCAAAAAAGGCATATATATACAATCACAATTTAAGGTTATGCCAATGCATGCCCTACGAAAAAGAGATGTCAAGATGTTTTGTAATCATGTTTCGGAACATGTCCCGGACATTTCTATGGGATTAATTCCGAAAATTATTTCTCTCTCTTTTTTTTTTATCATGTAACAAACTGGATTTTTCATGAGAATGATGCAATTGCATTACCTTTTTGGTAAAGCAAATGTCATATATCCTTGCACAGAAAATTATTGTTGGACATAAATGATCATGAGAACGTTGCATACATATTTTAACATATTTAATTTTATTGAAGTTGTTTATACAGGTATTAAAAAAAAAATACTGTATATATTTCATTGGAAAAAAGATTTGATCTAATGGTAGGCGCTTGAATGACAAAAAAAAATGAAAAAGAAAAAGAAACAAAAAAATTACAGTTTTTTTTTAAAAAAAAAAGTACTATAATTAAACAACTTCAAATGAAAAATTTGTTCAAGAAAAGTTGGAATAATTGATATGGTGAATGAGTTGGAGGTAGAAAAATTAGTTGAAAAATCTCAATTAAATAAACTAACACCATTAATTCCAACAAATCCTAATGATTTTAGATTTTGGCAAATATTTCGCCTAAATCTAAAATCATTAGGGTTTTGTTGTCAAATTACCAAATTATTCCTTTAAAACCATATTGGGATATTATATTCACCGCGATTTTAGTAGATAGAAGAAGTACCACTAGTTAGTAATCCCCTTCTTTTTTTTTTGATGTGTATTTCTTCAATTTCTTTATCGTTCATTGCGTATTCGTTTATGTATTCATTTTGTAATCTTTTTTAATCGCAATTCTATCATTTGATGTATTTAAAGTAAATGTTATTTTATTTATTATTTTTTTTCGAATGTTTTGTTCGTTTTGAATACAATTAAATTGAAAAGTTAAATTTAAGATATACAATGATATTTAATTTATTCAACTAAAAAAATCGAAATGACGCGCTAATCTCTTTCCTCTTAATATTTTCCGGGGCATCTAAAGCAATATTTGGGAACAAAATTATTAAAAAAAAATATCACACTACGTCCTATGGATTCGCTTCCTCAAGAGAATTAATTCATTAGGTTACCGTCGTTAGAATATTATAAATTATTGATATATTGTACACCGATGGAATCACGTGAAAGTCATTAAAAAATTTTTGTTTTCGAAAATTAGAAAAGTCATTATTGAGTTTGTTTTACCGCAGCACCAATATACGCGTGATTTATAACACCGGTCATGATGATAATATTTATTTGAAATTTATACAATTTTTAACGCGTTGTGTTTAAAATACGAAATAATTTAAATGCATTGGGGGTTAAACCTTATATGGCTGTACGTTGGCGGGATGAATCGTTGATTTCAAATGATAACCCATCTCGGGAAGAATGTACGCTCAAAGAATTAGCCTGTCGAATCATAGCTTTTCCTTTTTCAACATCATGCGCGCAACCATATCTTCCATACTTTGTAATCATTCCTAAATCTTTCAACGCGGAAGGGTAATTTTGTTTTGCAGCCTTACGTAAATATTCGATTGCAATTTTATAATGCTCCCTACTATGTTCTTCAGCTGATACCCTATAATTTAATATTGCATATGCGTACCAATATTGAGCGTCAAGTTGACCATCATTTGCTGCTTTAGATAAATATTTAATACTTGCTCTTGCATTTGGTTTCCGATTACGTCCTTTATAAAAACCTCTTAGATAATAATATCCGACCCAAAACCTTACTTCTGGAGTCTCGGTTACCTTCTCAATTTCTTTAAAGATTTTCCATGCCTTTTTATATTGTCTTTCTTGATGTAATTTAATTGCTTTTTCAAAATCTAAATCAACAAGGAAAGGATTTAATTTTTTCAATCCCTTGCGTTTGCTCAATTCTGCGCTAATAGTTAATCCGGCCGATGAGATATATTCTATTGAATTATCTGTATGTATTGACGTGGCATCATCATCTTTATTATTATTACAGTCGCCGTTGTTGACGTTTTCTTTGTCACCTATTTTAGGTATGGTACGACCAAGAAATTCCGCGGAATCCAATTCGTTTAACGTCTTAAGCATTTCTTCAATGGTTGGACGTTGTTTAGGATCTAGGTCCCACGCTTTTTCCATCATTTTTTGATATGCGACTGGTGTACCTCTAGTCGATACTGGTTGAGGACGTGCTCCAGCGAGAACTAATGATTTGAGATCATCTAGAGCTTTCTCTTCAAATGGAGTTTTCTGACTCGCTATTTCCCATAATACGATGGCAAAGCTATTCATGATAATTATAACAATTTTTTTTTTTTTAAAAAAAAAAAGGACGTTAGTAGTCTTGATAATTCCTTTTGTTCTATTATTATTCATAAAATGATAGTTACCTATAAATTTCGCTATGTCGTGTATAGGCTCGCTGTTGAAAATGTTCTGGAGGGGCCCATCTGGGATCTCGTTGCTCATTTATCGATTTTAATGCGATCGGAGAATCAGACTCGAATCTGAATCCGTAGAGTTTGGCTTGGAATTCCGAGTCCAGGTAGATGTTATCGCTAATAAATAAAAAAAAAATAATATGTTAATTCATAATTCGAAATGATAATTCAAATTATTGAATTAATATGTAATATACTGTACCTTGTAATATCATAATGCAAGATTTTTTTTTTATGAATATAGTTTAGCCCGTTGGCGATTCCTCGTGCAATTGGCAATTTTTGAGCCCATTCCAAATTTATATGTTCAGACAGGTAGTCTTGAAGTTTGTATTCGCCCCATCGTGAAATTACGCTATATTCCGTAGTTCGACGTATTATTCCATAACTAATCATAAAAATAAATAATAATAATAAAATTATAAAGTGTTTCTTGAAAAAAAAAAAAAGAAAATTCACTTCCAACTATGCTTACACTTTAAGAATATTTTCGCAATTACTAATCTCCTTTATAAAACTAATTTCTTTTTTCAATTCAAGAAGTTTTGGATCATCTCTTTCAAATTTTCCAACAAACTTTACAGCAACGGAATGATGATAAGCATACGTTCCCTTTTTAATATGATTTTTATTACCCATAACAACGGGTGGATTTATAAGATCAATATGATTTGAAGGTATTTCACAATATTTCATTTCTTTTTCAGAGGACGATAGTGATTTCTTTAATGTCACAACTTTCGCAAGTACTTTAATTTTGTTTCTAATCTTTCCATTCCATCCTGTATATTTGGATTTCCAATCTTCAAATAATTCGCTTAATTCATTTGTATAGGTTTCTAATTCACTTATTAGCTTTGAAATTTCTTGTCGAACCTAAAGAAAAAAAAACCCCATTCTTTTTTTAATTGAATGATAATTTCGGAAGATAAACCTTGATTACCCCTGCACTAAAATTACCTCAAAAATATTAAAAGACTCCATTTGATCGACAAAAGTTATGATATTCGATAAACAACCATCATAATTTTGAAAAGCTGAAGATTCTTCAACATAAACTTTAAGACCGGAATTAGGTAATTGATTAATGGTCTGTTGAATTCCATTCAGTACATCTTTTCCGATTATAACAACGCTTATGCCCTCTTCAAAAAGATCTCTATGATTGTTTGCATCCTGAAATAATTTTAAAACATTGGTACAGGATCTTTTTGTTATTTCAAATCCTTTTTGTGGTGTGATAGAAAAGTTGAGTGATTCGACATTAATTGGTGATGATACAATTGGTTCGTCAAAATTGAAGGTAGACATGTTTTTTTTTTAAGAAATATTAGAAATATTTAGGTTAATGAATTAAAAATTTATTAAGTTTAAAAAAAAAAAAAATTGTTATTTATTGTTTAAAAAAAGAGTAAGATATGGGAAAAAAGAGAATTTTCACGATGAATTTATATATTAATCAAAATTGGTTTATTTTTCCTGCAATTAATAAATTTAAATTAAAAAAAATTTGTCACGACAGGGATTCAACTTTACTCATCTTAAGTTACTCAATAATACAAAAACCATGAATGTAACATTACCCTAAATATTTATTGCACATCCTTACTTTTTTTAAAACACTAGTCTTTCAAGTAACGTATTGGCACAGCCGTTTTGTCGTTTGGGCTTGGCCTTTGTCAAATATCGACCAAACTTTGCATGGTATAATTACATGTTAAAATGAGAAACTGACCAAAATGAACACATATTTTGGTAATTAATTAGCTTTAAAAAAAAATTTCATTACCATTTTCGTCATTTAAAGTTTATTGGGGTAGTATTAAAGGAAATACCAATCATTTATTATAAAACGTCAGATTTATTTGGGGTT